GCCAATTTTCGAGAGCGCCTTTTTTTCAAAAAATCGATATATCTCGAAAAATAATTAATATTTTTAAATTTTTCAAAAATGTACTTTTTTGGCTTGCCGCGGGCTATGCTTGCAGTAAATAGCAAATATGGGCACGTAAATGTAAACGAGTTATAGAAGAAGAGAAAAGAGAAGATTTTTAACGGTTTTTTCGATATATCTCGAAAAGTAACAAAGCAATGGATACTTTCAAAAAATCAGTCGATAGATCTTTTTAAAATCTACAACTTTCTCATTTAAAATTTTTCAGTCCGTGCTATATTTTTTTAGTTATTTTAGAAAAACTGTTTTTTTCAACTTTGCGATTTTTTTTAACCATGTTCGCCATATTTGATCGAGTTTAAAGAACAAGAAACTCAATTTAAAATTTAATTTTCTATACGTATTCTATACATATTTTTTTTGTCCTGGTAATAATTTCTGTAAGCATTTCTCTATAATGCTTGGACTAATAGGACGACCGCCATTTTGTAGCTATTTTTATTACGAACAAAATCATGTCCTAAGTATTTTTTCGTACAGTCATCCCGCTGAGTTATTTAAAGAAAACTACTAAAAAAATTTTTTCACGATTAAATTGTTAATAACTTTTTTTTCCTGATAAAATACTTTGTCAGCAAATTAGCCTGTTATTGTACTCATCATTTAAAGTAGACCTGTGCAGTTATTTCCGGGTTATCAAGGTTTGACACAGGCCGAACCTCTATCAACTGGACTATAGGTAGGTCACCTAGCAACTGGTCACAGCCATTCAATACATTGTGCTTAGGACATATTCTTTTGGCCATATCTTCGATATTATGAGCGTAAAAATGACTTCAATACTGCTACATTAATTGTTTGTGTTACTTACAGAATATAACACTACAAACTGTCAAAAATTATGAAGCATTTTCCGTATCGAAATTTTATAACATTTCCTTATATAGTGTGTTCTGAATTTAATCTACAATATTTTACCAGAGAATAAGAAAAAGTGCCACAGTACTTGAAGGGATTGCTCGAGTTGTTTTTTTTCGAAATATTGTCAAAATCATTGGAGATAAAGGATTGAAATTCAATAGTAATGTCTACTATTGAATTTTGAATCTAAAAGCCGAAAAATAATTCCAAAGTTTAAGAGTTGTGGCTAAATTTTATTCCAACATTTTTTGTATTTAAACTCTTACTGTTTTATTGAAAAATAATAAAATTCAGGTAATTTTACAGCAAATATCAGTTGGTTGTGGAAAAGAATTTTGTGCACAAATATGCGCAACCCCTATTTAAATTTTTTATTCCGCAAATTCTGTTTGAAATTTTTTTGTCATGAGATCATAGAAATCGTTTTCTAAAAATGGTCTAGGAGCATTTTTATTACCTGATATTCTTCCGGAGTGGCTATGTAATTCGTGTAAATGTTGCTAAGCCCAGTGATGACGACCCTGGTGTTCTCTGGACCACCGTTTTCTATAATCGTGTTCTTGACGGTGTTACGCAATCGTCTGCCCGACATAGTAGTGAATTCGCCTGGCACAGCGGTGAAGAAGACGTTACCGATCTGGAACATCTGCGTGGACACAACTTCTGGTTGCCACTCGTAAGGCAGCTTTATCTGCAAACGGAGTAAAATAATAAGAGATATTTATAAGGGATGTTCCTAAATTGTGTTCCGATGTTATCAGTTTTAATGGTAGATAAAAGAAATAATGATGCCTTTTTATTTAAACCTTTTTCCAAACATTGATAATAGTGGATTCCTTTAAAAAAGGCTGGGAGATTATGTCTTATTCGTATTTTAAACTAATTTAGGGCTTCGAAACAACTATTTTTTTTTGTCCTATTTTTTGACTTACTCGTTTGAGAGCCTAAAATTTCATATTGAACCCTTTCCCTAATACTTGTCGCTCCATATTTTCCAATTTTTTCGTTAAACCAGTAATCACGTCATATTAAAATCAAGTTTTTTAGTCATCAAATAGGCAGAAATAATACTTATTTATTGTAAAAGTGGTTTTATCCATAATCACATCACAATCATATTTGTGAAGTCAGAAAATTGCATATATGTGGTCGAAGTATTCGATGTTGAAGGCTACTACTCGTATAAAGGTCTACAAAAATATAGACCATATATCAAGCTTACTGCTTATTTGAAAAATGAATCGAGAGGATACAAAGCAAACAGAGTTGCAGTATTAGAAAGAGCGCATATTTCTGAATTTTTGACTGAGACTTCCGATAAAGAATATTTAATGATTAAGGCAATATATTTCACATATTGTTAGGTATATAGTGAACTTTGAATGATTTTGGGTTGCACTAATAATGGGGGTTTCTGGTGCCTGTCGATGGTGAATTGACAAATTTGAAAATTAGTGACGTACAGGACGTTTGCAGTTACCTGCTTGTTTCAATACCTGATACCAAGACGGGCATTTCAAGAAAATGTACAATTATAGAAGAGGGATTTTGCGTGAATGCTGTTCAAATATGCAGAAAATATATTTCTCTGCGCCCAATTCGCCTAACACAAAACATCAATACAAAATGTACTTTTTAGCCTGTTGAAATCAACACATTGGCGAAGGTACCCTCAATGGTTGCTTCATTCCTGAGTATAGAAAATCCAGAAGCATATACTGGTAATTATACTTCAACAACTTTATTGGCCAATAAAGGTGCTGATCTTACATGGATGAAAGAACTCCTGTGAAGCAGAAAGTTATGATGAGGAGCCTATATCTAACAAACTTCATATTGCAAGGAAAATATAGCTGTTCCTTACAAAAAGAGACATCCGTAACTTATGCAAATTCTTCACAAACTTCTGCAGATGTTATGAGTTCCGAAAATGATGGAAACAATGCTACAAGAGTTGTTATTAACGGAAAGGAAGTTAAATGTGATAAAACAAACAACAAAATGTCTGTTACTATAAATGTTAATGTTAATAAGTGAATAAGTTTGATTTATGTAGGTTTATTATTTTTTTATTATTCTACAAGTGGAATAAAGTTACTTTATTCCACTAGTAGATAAAACATCACTTTAGACATATGTGTGGATAAAAGTTCGATTATAAGGTGACTGTGGATAAAATAGTTTTAGTTTCGGTAATTAAAATATTTTCCATATGTACCTAATTTTAGAAAGGACATTTCTGTTTAAAGTTGAAAAATACTAGCAACTGCTACAAAATATGTTTAAGTTACTGGACAAATTACAAGAGTTTTATTTAAGATCCAGATTAATTTGAGGGACCCTTTTTGTCAATACTTACGCGCCCAGACATAATTAGAACTGGTTTGGCACCGTGGCACTCTTGATCTTCATCCGTCGGAGGGAAAATGAAATCTCTGACGACGTTCCAGAATGGATTGGAGGAGGTGGAGCCCTGCGTGAAGTCGAATTCGCCGGGTCCGTCGGTGGTGCCGGCAGCGAAACTGTATCCCATGCCCGGTAGACAACCCTTTACCTAAATCAAACAAAAGGGTCAATAGTGGATCTTATTTCAATGTCAGTTTTAACTTTGTTACATCTAATTGCAGGGTTAGAAAATCTATTCACTTTTATACTATTGTTCTTGGGAATAATAAATAAAAAGAAAGGAATTACAAATTTTTATCCTGAAGGCGAGGTTCGGCGAATATCTCGTCCATAAGTCAAGTGACCACTGTCCTACTTTGACTCCACTACAATTAGATTGATTAATTTATGACGGGGTTCGCTCGTGGAAGCCCACTTCGAATTACAATTTTATTCTTATTGCAACTTTATATGTAACATCTTGTATTTCAGAATCCCTCAATGCTTCATAGATCAATAAATTAGCAGATACTGTCACCAAAAAATTTATCAGCCTCAAGCAAATTTACTCGAACATACAGCAATCTAAGATAACGATGTAATTATTTCGCTTAACATGTGAGTGTCAAAGAACGCCCACGAAATCGCCTTTACGATTGGACGCTACATCAAAGGAAATGTATTCAAAGACTATTAATAACGTATATGGGGTTTACTTTGACCCCTATAATCGTTAGATGTTTATATTACGACTGAAATTATATGATTGGATACGTTAGTTTTAGGTTCATGAAAAAGTGGACGACGAAAAGTTCGACTGAATTCATTCATTACGTTCTTGCAGCACTCAGGCCTTGACCTATTGTGCATGTCGCGAGTAAAAGTTAGGAGCAGGCATAGCAACAGAAAATGTCTGTCTATGGAGTCTTCTGCATAACTGTAGCTACATTCTTGTTTAGCTCAATTCTATGGAGCTGCTTGTTCCTAGTCCATGGGGCTTTTATAAGGGACCTGACATACGAGATCCATCAAACCATTTTCTTTTGATCCAATAATCAACAGATCGTATTAAATAATATTGTGGTTACATGATTTATGTGATGTTCTGTTCCAACATTACATCTTAAGCGAATGAATTTGTTTGGTAGTACATCTATTGGGCAATACTTCGTTTAACAAAGCTTATTAAAATAGAGATTTTGTTGTATGGGTAACCTTTATTTAGTTAACAAAAGAAAGGACGTGAATGGTAGATTGTATTGCCGCATGGGAAAAGGGTATAACATATTCGATCCGGGCTTTGTATCACATTTGACAAAGCCCTGGAAAGTAGATCAAAGCGGTTCCTGATGCTATTTTATGCCATTAAAATTTTGGACAATGGATTTCCACAGACCGCTACTGGAGCTAATGTAATGGGGAACATTTACTACTTTAAATGTGTACGAGGTCTGTTCGGATAATAACCGTACTCTTTGAAGTACGTACAAATGGAGATGTTTAGTGATGTGCGGTTGGCAGCATTGCGTTGCACGTAACCTCTTCCGTAAACAAATGTTCTTGGATTGTTGATGTCTCATTCAGTTTTCGTTGTTATTTGAGTGTACTGATTTCCGAAACATCCTGTATAGACACCTATTCGACACGAATTCGTGTAATTATGACGTGATGCTCTTATATTTTTGTGAAATTTTATTCCAAATTAGCTAAAGTACCTTGCTAAACGTAACTCAAAGAAGATTATGAATATTATAATTACATACATTTTTCCCAGGAAATGTTACATACCTACATTTTTATTTATATCAAATTATCCCTTCTGAAAGCATCTTTTCATAATGTTTATCATCTCGTATATTCCATTTCTCATTACATTTAGAGTCCCACAAAAAAATTACTCTGTCGTCAAACGAAATATAAAACGAGCAACGAATGAAAGAAGCGCTGTTTAAATTCGTGTACATTTTTTTTATTATCTCTCCCATATGATCGTTTCTACACAAACACAGTTTTTACTATTCCTGCCACTTTTTCCTTTTTAAAAGCAAAACCTATCTCAAAGCATTAGCTCTTCACGAATTCTCTACATGAGCTGCAAAGCATTCAAAATTTATATATTTAGGGTTTAGTTTAATTTGTCCAAACATGTTTTTACATATATTTTTTAATTTACTTCTCTCACGTCTTCAATTTTCTGTTCGTTATGTTTATCATTCTTCTAGAAATTTTTTATATATTTGCAAAAGCATTTAACTAAAACAAGAAGTATGTGAGAAATTTTACATTTTGAACAATTTAACACAACTACTTAGGTCAATATTTGGGACAATTTTATCGTACGTGTATAGCAAGATAGAAAGTGAATATATTTTACAAAATTATAATAAAACTGAACTGATTTTAAATATAATTTGTTGGTAATTGTAGTTAGTCGTATTTTTTAAATGAATTATTACCAAACGCTTACCTCTTGTTCCGTTCCATTTGCAAGGGTGATGGTTGCTGTCTGAGTAGGCATATCAACATATTGATGAATGTACTTCACTGGTCCAGAAACTTCCGTGGCATCCGAACCGTCGAAAAGTTCCTAAAATTTGGAAATATTGATGTACTCTTTGAAGTGAAGATAATGATTATAATATTAGCTCTGGCAATGAATATGATAGTGATGATATTAATTACGATTATGACGATATAATTGTTATCCTTTATTCCAACCACAAGACTTTATCACAAACCAATAACTTATAATGTAGACGATGCGATATATTATCTTAGATTCTTGTACCGAATAAGACGACGTTCCTAAAGAGGGCATAGTGAAGCTTCTAATAACAGAAATGTTTATACCGTTACACATTTTTCCGGTGTTATTTAGATACACCCTGTATATGTTTGATATGAATGTGCCTGTTGATTTCAGGTTTATTTATATAGTTAATTTTAGTTTGTAACATACTTTCTTAAAATTTACATAACTTTTACTTTACTCTTAAATTTAAAACACTGCATTTGTATTAGAAGTTATTAGTAAAACTAATTTAATAGGTTTAAATTAATAAGCGAATTACCAATAGACGATATGCTCTACAAAATCTACATACATGCAAATACGCTAAACGACAAGTTTCATTTAAATTGTACTGACATTCTCCGTACATTAACACTATATCTACTAGTTCTTGATCAGAAAACATTTTATACGCCGGCTAAGTAATACTGCAACACACAACGCACGTGCACAAGATGCACAGGGTCGGCTTACATTTATGGTTAATTTCTTATTTAATTTTCTCGAAAACAGAAGCATTTAGTAGTCCAATTAACTAAGCCTTTAAATCGAAATTTTGCCAACTTGGCTGAATTTTTGATATGAGTTAGTTTAAGGTATATTATAACAATAAGTGAGAGTAATTTTTTGTTCAACCCCCGGCCAAGGGTGGAAAAAGATAAAACAAAGGGCTTTTTCAAGATAACTCAAAAAGGGTAAGAGCTAGAAAAAAAAGAAATGGCCTCTTAACTTTTTCTTGTACTATTACAATTAACAGAGTTAGGGAGGCTAGAAGTTAAGGGAAGATTTCAGAAATTTAAAAAAAATCATAACAAACAGAAAAATGATTGAATTTTGTAATTTTTTTTTTCAATCTGCTCTAAAATATGTAACTTTTCTTTTCAGAGAAATAGATATATTTTTTAATTTTTAATAAGAAAGATATAACAAAAAATCAAATTTTTAATCGTTAATTTTAATGATTTAATGATTTAACAAAATTAAATTTTTCTAGCTCTTACCCTTTTTAAGTTATCTTGAAAAAGCCATTTGTTTTATCTTTTTCCACCCTTGGCCGGGGGTTGAACAAAAAATTACTCTCACTTATTGTTATAATATACCTTAAACTAACTCATATCAAAAATTCAGCCAAGTTGACAAAATTTCGATTTAAAGGCTTAGTTAATTGGACTATAGTCAATCTGTTGCTTAATAAAAGTTGCTCATTTTCGCGCCCTCTATCAAGGAACGCACTTATTAAATTTAACTGACATGGCGTCTCTTGATTTCCAGAAATCATTGAAAATATGTACCCGTAACTGTTCTACAATTCTACTTGTATCACTAATCGAATTGCAGCGATAACAAGCAAGCCTTTGAAAACCCTGAGGAGAGTAATTGCAGTATGATGGATTGAACGTTATAAAATAGATGTTGCTCTGCGGTGATACGTAACAAAATCCTTTTTATTCAGCCAATGTAATATTAGAAATATCTTGACACTTATGAAATATTGCCTGAACTAAGCTCAAGTAAAAAACAAAAGGTTAGATGGATTTTCCATTTGTCACTTTCATTGTTAACTTCCTACTTCCTTGAACTGTTTATGGGTTGGAACTTTTCGAGGATATAGAGCGTTGTTTTATAGAAATTTGGTAGGTACCCTAATACTTCCATATAGACGTCACTTCATGACATAATTTTTGCATTAACAGAATCAGTTCATAATTTTGTCATGCTATAGAATTTGTTAAAAAAAGAATTTGCTGGAATTTGTAATAGTTTCGGATTAATTTTTTTTTTTTATTAAATAATTAATGGATTTTTGGTTCAAACTAAAATTATTACATCATCTCAAAAGTAATAACAGAAATGAAATACTGTATTATAATTTACAAAAACTTATGTCTTATAAAAGCTGTTCAATATGATCATTGTTTTTAATGATACAGAGTAAGAAACACATTTTTTTATATTGCACTTTCGATTGATAAAAATAATAGCTGGTATTATTATTATTTTCACGAATTGTCATTAATAACTAGACTTAGTGCACGTGCAGAGTCTAACAGAGCCGGTGCGGAGATCGGTGGCCTTCACAGCTGACTCGCGATTTGAACTGTTCAGTTATTTACGAAACCTTGTAGTTGTTGGTGTCGCGACTTTTCTTTTACGTTTGCTGTAAATTGTATTCGCCGTGTGTTCACATAATTTACATTAACAACTATTAGTTGGGGGGAAAAGTGAAGTAAAATGCCAAAAGAAAAGAGAAATAGACGGGAATTATTTCAAATGTGGTTTGACAGTGATCTCGAAGGTTACGGACACATACGTATTAAAGGAAATGACCTGTTTTGTACTGTGTGTGAACGCATTATAAATTCTTGTGGTGTCATCTAAATTTATATAGGTATTTTATCCTCTACTTAGCCTTGCTCTTTGGTAATAGTATTGGGTTGCGACATATTTTCTGTACTCATATTAATATTTTCATTCGTAATCTGACTACGGTCCTGTTAAACTCCGCGCCGCACTAAGCCTATTAATAACTCAGTTTCGTTGATTTTAGTTATTTTAAGGTGAACAATCGATAGAAGTTTGACGAACAAATTGATTTTATTACTTGTACAGTTTTGTGAAGGAATCTGCCGTAGAAGTATGTAGAATATGCCGGCGTAACTCTTCGGATTTTTGTTAAGGGATGTTCAAAGGTTATTTAAGAATTTTGGCAACTCTAAAAACTGCAATTTTTAATATAGTTTATTGACGTTGAAAATGGTTAAAATCTCGTTTTTTTCGAACAAAAAATCGTTAATATCTCGAAAACGGTAGATTTTAGAGAAAAGTTGCATTGAAACTTTTTTGTTCAAGATTCCCCAAAAAGCCTAAAAAAATATTTCGAGCGAAAAAATCGAAAATTACGAATTTGTTTAAAAAAAAATGTGTAAACAATTTTTGACCATTAGTAACGTCTGACAACGTGCGGATATGTTTCAAGGGTCATTTTATAGTAAGATTATGAAAAAAAAATCGAATGAGAATCATGTTCCTAGCTGGACCGACGATACAGCCTGGACTATATGAGTATTGATAGTGAGGAAAAAACCTCACAATTTTCAGAACGAAGGAATACTGAAGAAACGTAAATTTAAGTTTTTTTCGTAGGTTTAATTTATGTATTATAGAAAATGGTGATCATATTGAACGGTTCTTATAAGCAGGAAATATTTTATTTTTATATTACTTTTGCCGCCACTCAAGGAAATCAGACATTTTTCTCCAAATGGATTTATACAGAAATCACTTGTTAAAAATATGGTGGTGATATTTCGATATGTATCGTAGCTATAAAATCTGGTAAATAGGCGTCGCATTTTGTTCCTCAATTTAATCTAATGCAATCAGTTTGTTATTAATAATAACCATATGTACGCGATTGTAAATCAAACAGAGAAAGTTTAAGTTTCTTTTTTAACATCTTTGAAATTGATACATTTAGGACGTATAAAACTGTCATGTTTATTTTGCGGTATTATATTTTCATGTTATAACATATATTGTAATATAAATCATTGTAAATTCTATGAAATGGGACGTTGCTTATGACTAGATACAGTTATGACCTGAAAATGTGGAAAGGAACTTACCGCTTTAAAGACAAAAGTCACTACATCTTATAAAAGATCGAAAGGAATCCGTCGACTGTCGTCTCTTTAAGCCTCGTACAATTTGGCGAAGTGTAATCGGTATAAACGACTACTACTTTATGGAACTAGGAAAATACGGCATCCAATGTTGACTTCTCCGATATTTACGCTACTGGGATACATAAACCGGAAAAAGGAAATTGTAATTTTCGCGGTAATCCCAAACGGCTCCAATTTACAATTCAATTCATTTTCGATTAGCTAAATCGATACTGCCTTGTATTAGTTACACAGAGCATATCGAAATCTTGGGGTTAACACTTACTAGATCAGAAGTGATCGAATCAACACAGAACTATCGGGAAATGAAATTTGCATATCATTTTACTCTCCGCACATTATACATACTTATAAGACTATTAAACGTTAACTTGCAGTAGATTGGAATGGAATTGATTAGATTGGATTAGAATAGAGGAATCAGAGAAATACATTTGCGCTAGATTGTATGCAATACCGTGTGCCCTCAAACAAATTAGAAGTTTTAGGATGGGTTGGAAAAGTTAGGATGTTCCACTGTTCAAATGAATTAAGTTGTAACAATTTTTATTAATTTGGCTACAGGACATGCTTACTATTACAGCCATAAAGGAGGGCAAAAATAATAAATAGCGATGATTTTTTTATAAACAAAATTCTAAAATATCTTTTTGTATTGTTCTATTGCTTCTTTCCGAACTAGATTAATGGAATATATACGAGCATCACTTTTATCAAAATGGAGGAAAGTGATACCCTTACATTTTGTATTGCAATGGATGCCTTTACCTCTCATGGTAATTATTAGTATTAGATCATTAGACGAAAACTTATGTTTTATATAATTATTATAATTCTTTACACTTGCAAAGTATAATTTTTAGAAATCTGTATTGTTGCAATTTGAAGAATGGATAACTAGAATAAATATTACATGACAAACTAAAAGAAATGATTTAGTTGAAAAAACTAAAAACATATTCTTTCCTAAGTACATTATTGATTGCCAATTAAATACTAATTATCAATTAGGGAATATGAGCATTATTAAAATTAACTACCCAATTAATTGTTTATTTATTCAATAGATGATTCTGTTAATCAGAATTATTTATTATGAAATAAATCAGCACTACATATTTTATTTACGAATATACAAAGTACAGGGTGATTCACTATATTTTGACCCCTCCTTTAACTTTTTTGTTTTAAGAGTTATAAAAAAATGTAAAATACAAAAGTTGCACGATTTTTTATGAATTTTTCGAATATGACCGCGAATGTTAACTTTGTTAATTTAAATGGAACACCCTGTATATTTTTACATATGTGGATAGAAGATTTGCTGTCGAGCATAGTCATATAGAGTTTGTTGGGTCCATCTCTAACAATAAGCGAGATACTATTAAAAAAAGGAAAGCATGTTTTGCATGTGCATGTTTTTTATTAAGAAAATATCTTGTAATTGTTATAACTCTTTCAGGCACTTCTGCCTTTTTTCCAATTACATAAGGATTTACAGATTTAGTTGTAATATATTTTGAAATGTCGGACATTGATATGGCCCAAAATGCGTATAGGTATTTTAACTAAATCTCACTAATTAGACCGTGAGAGGCCTAATTACTCATGTACAATGTTATATGGTAGGCCGTGAAAGTGACAAGTAATGTCATGATAACATTGTTATTGATTGGCAGTTTGTATTATTATTTAATTAAAATAGGTTACATAGTAGTAGAAAATTGAAAAATTGTTAGGAATTAAAATAGAGTATGGAGAAGATCTTTACTCTATTTGAATTCCTAATAATATTTCTACTTGTTTCTTTTTTAATAGTATCTCGCTTATTGTTAGACAACGTTCTATCCAAATATGTAAAAATATACAGGATGTTCCATTTAAATTAACAAAGTTAACACCCCTCAAAATTGTAGAATATGTAAAACATGTCGAAATATGATGAAAACCTTAGTAGAGTGTTTGTCAGTGGCGGCCCCTAAGGGAGACACCACCCCTTGAAGGGGTAACTCAGGAAACAGTTTTTATTGCATAACTTGAAAACGGCTTAATATTAAATCGCGAAATTTTGGGATTGTATTACTATTTATATGCTTAATAATCGGCGTAATATAGAAATCAAAATTTGGTACAGGGGCGTAAGAAAATGCGGAACCATGGGGCAAATTGTACAATTTTTTTTTGTATGCAATTTTTTCTACTTCCTGAACCGAAATTATGATATTTTGCATAAAAAAGGTACTCTTGTTAGATTTAAATAGCATGAGCCGTTTTCTAGTAAAATCCATTTCAATAATTCATTACGTGCTCAAAAATTCTTGCTGAAAATAAATGTATCAAATTGTGCCATGAGAAAATTAGAATCCTACGTACCCTAGCCTTGTTGAATAGTCTGGTGGCGATGATTTCGGTGCTCTCGAACATGTCGTTCCCTGGACCGAAAGCGATGCAGTATTTGGCTTCGCCATCGCACGTACTGGAGGTGGTGTCACAAGGTTCCCCGGTATTGATACAGTGAGGACCCTTCAAGTTGGGCGACACATCCCCTAGATTTGTGGAGGCAAAGGCACCCACGAAGTCTCCCTGCAAAAACAATTAAATATTTGTATTAGAAAATAGGTTTATTATTCACACGGAAATCAAAAATTATTTATTTAAATGTCCTGTTCCGACAGAAGAGTGTTCTGTACAACATCAAATGATTTTAAACGTACAAAGCCTATTAGCGACACAATATACAGGGTGATCCATTGACGGTACGGAGCGGCTGTATACAGGGTGTGGCGTGTATAATCTATAAAAATTAAACTACAGCTTCCTGATGATATTTGTAATAGAAAAGTCTTATACAAAAAACTTCTATCTCTGTGTTCTTTTTTGTAAATTAAATTTCATTTATTCTACGAATATGAAGGCCGACCCTGTGTTGTTTATTAAAAACTTTGGAAATGTTTTTATGCGACCCGAGATGCAACCTTATAATTTAAGTCGGTATAATCTAATTCTAGTAATACTAAAAGAAGGTTAGGTTACATTGTCAAAAAATTTGAGCAGTCAGCTGATTTTGTATTTGTATTGAATTCATTATTCTCTTAATTATTAAATATTAAGCATCGTCCATCCACAAAAGTTTTGTTTTTCCACGATAGTGACAGTGTAATTTTTATAAAGAATTAAAAAATGAGAATAGCTTGCCGATTGCATTAAAGACAAGATTCTTATTTCTTACGTTGCTTAATTTTTTAGTTTGTGCACAAACTAATTTTACAATGAACCGAGAAAAGAATGGATTTACTATTTCCGAACGTGTCGATATGGTGTTAGTGTATGGTGCAGGCGGAGAAAATGTGCTCGCGGCGACTAGGTTGTACCAGGAACGATGGTCACAACGTCACCCCTCCCCATGTGCAAATACAATCCTACAGTGCGTTCAGCGGCTGCGAGATACGGGAAGTGTTATTCCTCGAGGAGAAAGACGTGGTCAGCAAGTGAACCTTAATGTTGAAGATGCAGTGTTGGAGAATCTTGACGAAGACCACGCAATTAGTACTCGACGACTCGCACAGCAAGTAGGAACCTCATCTCGTACATCGCATCTTAAGGCGCCAGCTGTTGCACCCCTATCATCTGCAACCAGTTCAACAGATTTTACCCCCCGGATTGTGATCAACGAATGCGTTTTTGCAGTTAGTTTTTACTGCAATATGCCGATCAAGTACACTTTCCTGCTTAGGTTTGTGTAACAGATGAGGCGACATTTACACATGACGAAGTGAATTTTCATAATATGCACATATGGGCCGATTAAAATCCTCACGCGATTAGGGAAACTCATTTTCAACATCGGTTCTCTGTAAATATTTGGGCTGGCATAATAGGCGATGTACTTGTGGGTCCCTATTTCTTTGAAGGACGACTAAATGGACCAACATATGCTACTTTTTAAGAGCACTACAAGTTCGGGAACGCATGTTTTATCTTCAAGATGGGGCTCCTCCACACAGTACTTGAGAAGTAACGACACTTTTGAATGAAATGTTTCCTCAGCGTTGGATTGGACGCTTTGGTCCTGTGCCGTGGTCACCTCGGTCACTCGATCGAACTCCAATGGACTTTTATCTTTGGAGTCACTTGAAGTCATTGGTTTATAATACTGCAATTGCTACGGTGGAAGAATTGCGAAAGTGTATACCTACTTGAAGCTGCTGACACAATTAGGGGAATACCTAGAATTTGGAAAAATATTCGCTAAAATTGGGTGCGTCAATGCCATGCTTGTATCTGCGCTAATGGGGATCAATTTCAACATTTTCTCTAAAAATGGTAAGTTTTACTTCGTTTTGTTCATATTTTAACGGAGTTTGCTTAGTACACGCAGTTATCAACTACAGATGCTTACGTGTCTGGTTTTGTTTGCGAACTCTTGCAGTAACAACAATGCATTTAAGATAGTAACTACTATTTATTATTATTATAATAGGAAAATATCAGTTTTTTTTAAATATCGATTTTTCTTAGTTTGTACTTTTGCATTGAAAAATTCCCGAAAAATTGAGCAGTATCTTTCTATCTTTCAACGACGATTTGTTTACGCGTATAAGACAAAATATTGCATTATATATTATTATTATATACTTATTATAATTACAAATAAGTTGTAAAAAGTTGTACTAATAAAGGCTGTAGTTTAATTTTCATTGATTATACACGCCACACCTGGTATAGGAAACTAGACGTGCTACAATATGGAGTAAAAATTCTATTAACAAATATGAAGAATATGAAGAATTTGATTTATAATATTTTCAAGTTTGTAACTTCTTCACTAGAGGGCGCAACTGCTATAGTGTTACAGAAAATTGTCGTTTTTTCGAAATTTCACTTATATAGCCTAAGTTGAAAATACACTTTTTAGATACACTGTTAAACCCTTCACAAGTTTTGTTTGAACTGTTTTTTTTTGTTATTATCATAGCAACGACAGTATAAAAGACGCCATCTTGAAATTTTTAAATTGTCATATATTTATTTTTATGATATTTTTTTCGTGGCTTGATAGACCATTTATTAAGTGATGTAATAATGTGATGTTGTGCTAGAACATCCTCATTTATTTAGTTTTTTCTAAATAACATCGACAAAATTACATTGTAAAACTAACCTCCAAGTTTGTCTTTAAAAAAGTACTTGCTATATTTTGAATTTTTTTGATAACTGCGATGTTTCATTTTCTTTATTAATTCGAAATATCTGAGTAGATAAAAGTTATTGTTTCCATAACGAGACAAATGAAAAATTATGTCAAATAATATGTGCCAAGGCTGTATAAAAAATCAATATAATTTAACTAATAAGTTCCAAATCGGTCTATGTCTGGTAACTCTGCTAACGAATGATCTTCTTAGCTGTTTACTAGATATTGTAACGGTAATTCAACGCTTAATGGGGCTGTAATTCGCAGAGTGGTCGTTTTCCGTATCGTTAGTTAAAAATACCCTAGAAATAATTTAACCTGTGAACACTATAACTCAGTAACGTCTTCTTTGTCCTGATTTTTGGGCGTCGAGATTGCGGTTTATTCTGCCTGCCATCTTTAACCAAAATTTTCTCGCTAAGTTGTCTTTTTAATATTCCACAAATTTTTCTTGAACCACATCGTTCCACTTTAGTGTAAAGTTCAAATTATAATTTAAATTAGCGACTTTCATAAGCCCTTCCACGAAAGTTAAGTGTTATGAAAGACGCCATAAAGTTTTTGGACGTATATTGTTCAGAGGGTGAGTTTAAATTTGTTAAAGGGGTGAAAATTAGCGCGAATTTATACTCTTATTTGATTGTGAGGGGTTCCTCATCGGTGGACACATGATACTGAAGCCACCAGCAAACAAAACCAAAAACCAAGTAGTTAATTATGTAGCTAGTTCAAGAACACTTTAATTCGTAATTAGCAGAAGTCAAAGTAGGGAGGATTTTGTTATTATAAATTACTTTCAATTGCAAACTTACTGAAGATTCTATTAGATGACTCATACACTAATTTTGTTACAGGCAAAGTTGTTAGGAAACAGATACAAATAGGTACATTATACGTATACCGAAATTAAGGAAAGTGAGAAAAATATAATTATCATTTCTATTTATTGCAATGGACCAGGCCATTGCCCCTGTAAGTAATATAATGTTTTAAGAATTCTTATAAAAAGTCCACATTCTGTATAAAATATAAAAGTAAAAAAAAGTAAACATTTATTGTAAATAATATAAATTTTATTAACATCATACAAACGACATTTACACTGGAAATAAAATGTGTACCTACATCAAAAAGTGCCCCGAACAAACTCGACCTGCGTAAACATTTTTCCTTTCGTATCATATTTCGAATTCATATTTTTCTTTCATTCCACTGGGATAATAAAAATATAAAGTTTTTCAGTATTTATCACGAGCGTTCAAATAAAAACGTGGTCGAAGTTGGCTCTGACACATTGGACGTAGGGAGTAGCTTATAGCGACCAACTTAACCTCATTTCTCAACGAGCTGTATAGCAGCTGTCAGTTTCAATAACGTTAATGACTATATAACTTTATTTTAAAGAATAATCGTGATAACAATAACAAACAATTAAAGGAGCTGCGGAAAGTGTCCCCCTCCTTGTTATAACAATAAATTAAAGCAGCTGCTGAAAGTGTCCCCCTCCTTGTTCCAAGCACTTTTCACACCTGTTCCTCAAAGAATTAAAGACATTTTCTAAGATGCTCGGGGTATTGTTAATTTCACGAATCTTGTCTATAAGTCGAGCCTGCAGATGGTTTAAATCAGGAATAGGCAGTTCAAAAATAGTGTTTTTAAGGTAAGGCCACAAAAAGAAATCACACGGCGTAATATCACATGACCTCGGTGGAAATTCATGTTCAGCATTGAGACTTATTAGTCGATTTTGGAAAACTTCCCTCAACATATTCATCGTCTCGCCTGCCGTATGTGCCCTTGCGCCATCTTGTTGAAAGTAAAAGTTTGTAATTTCGTTTTCTTCCAGCTGGTTAACAAAAGGAGCGATAATTTCTTCTCTATACCTTTGCGCAGTAAGAGTACCATTAAAAAAAATAGGTCCATAAATCCTCCTTCGATTGAGAGCACACCAAACTCCAATTTTTTGAGCGTGTAGAGGGCCCTCGACAAAAAAGTTATCTGGTTTTTCAGAAGACCACATTCTCATATTCTGTGAGTTTACGTAACCACTTAAATGAAACCAGGCTTCATCAGAAAAAAAGGTGATATTATGAAGTTCACCGTAGTTGTTTAAAAACCATTCACAAAATACAGCCCGTCGCGGAAAATCAACTTCATGAAGTTCTTGCTGACAAGTTAAACGATAGGAGAACAAACGCAAATCTTTTTTTAACACTGTGTGGCAGGTACCGACTGATACTCCCACCATTTGTGATAAAACACGTACAGAAGTTCTTGGCGCATTTTCCATTATTTGTTGGACATTTTCTTTTAATTCTTCAGTCCGCTTTTTAGGTCGGCCGCTTCCTTCTTTTCTTGTTACACTGCCCGTTTCACGAAAAACATTAAC